GGTTGTTCCTTCTGAAGTCCACGACCATTTCCTTGATCTTCTTCACATTGATGTGAAGGTTGTTCTTCCTGCACCAGTTCTCCAGGTGTTCCACCTCATGTCACGATCCTCGAGGTTGGAACCCAATTGCAGAGAGATGAGTGAGGCAGGAGTTCAAAAACCAAAACAATTTATTTTTTTTAACAACAAAACAAAAGGCTGTCGGTGCAGCAAAACTTACTTTTGGCAGATTGGATCAGAAATAATGCAGAGCAGATCATCAGGGGGGCAGAAACCAGACAAGGCAGAAGAGGATTGTGATGTCTGTGAACATAGAACAGTCACCGGACAAGGAGTGAAGGAAAGAAAGGCTTTTTATGTGACAGAGGGAGAGTTAGTAATGAGAGCACCTGGGCAAGTGGCTGATGAGGGACAGGTGTGAATGATAAAGACTGAGTGGAGAAGCAGACTGAGGAATGAGAGGAACATAACAGAAACAGATAAACAGAAAATCACACACAAAGCAGAACAATAAAAAATATAAAAAGCAGACAGAGACAGAAACTTGAAATAGAAGGAAATGATTAAGACTGTGGGATGATAGTTTGAAGATATAAATGTTGGTTTCTGGTTGCAGCTTGAAGGAGGTGGCAGAGGCTTGGCAGATGGGGGGGCAGCGGGGGCCGCTGACCGTGACACCTCATGCCTGTAGCTGGACTCATCATTGTTTATGATGCATTTCACCACTGCTGTATCATCTGCAAACTTTACAATATGACAGCCTGGATGGGTAGGCGCACAGTCATACGTGAGCAGAGTGAACAGGAGTGGGCTCAGCACACAGCCCTGGGGGAGCCAGTGCTGAGGGTTATGTATGCAACTTGTACAGAATAAACCCTGGGCAGATGTTGTTGGTACTCTTACAACACTACATATCAACAACAAACAATATCTTGCCGCAGCAGCAGCAACATGACATTGCGTACAATGTTATATTTATGTGGTTCATCTATCAAGAATACGAAGGAACACACCACAAATACACAGCTCCAACAAGACTCAACAAGGGTCTCCACAGCAAATCATCGTCCTCCATCTCACTCTGTCCTCTGCATCCTCTGTCCTCACTCCATCTCCATGTCCTCTCTAACTGCATCCATATATCTCCTCTTTGTCTTTTTCCTGGCAGCTGCATTTCTAACATCCTTCTACCGATATACCCACTGTCCCTCTTCTGGACATGTCCAAACCATCTCAGTCTGGTCTCTCTAACTTTATCTTCCAGTTGTTCAACCTGCGCTGTACCTCTGATGATCTCATTCCTAATCTTATCCATCCTTGTTACTCCTAAGGAGAACTATCCACTCCTTCCTGCCTAGACTCTCTTCTTCACCTCTTCAGTTGTGCTATGGGTTGTTAAAACGCACAACCCTAATACTCATTATGATCCTGGTGGTTGGGTGTTTTCTCCTGCTGTAAACCACAAGCAGACACCTGTGGATGTTCTGGCAGTCATTAGCCAGAGTTAATTTGCCTACTTTCAAACCTGGTTTGTTTATTTCCACAAAAGTCAAGTAGACAGACAAGCCAGCTTAAACAAAGCCAGGAAAGTAGAAGGTTGCTCTTTTACATATCGGTCAGTCCATTTGCAACATTTGAGCATGAAATTTGACTATGTTTAAAATGCAACCCCTCCTCGGCTGCAACGGATGTCCCATCTTGGATAGGTCAGAAATAAAGCTTATTTGAAGTCATTGTCTCAGGTTAAGTAGGATTTTTTTCAGATAGCTGCTCATGCAAATAGTACTAAAGTTGTTTTGTTTTTGTATTTTGTCTCATGAAATGTGAGCATGACATATATTTAATCTATTTTTGATCACATCTCTGCTAAAAGGAGGTAACATTTTAAAATCATTGACTGAAAATTGTACAAAAACGTCATTCCAGCAACCGAGACAATGAAATCCTTTAAAATATTGGCTCATTTTTGTTTTGAATGTTTCAAAACAATTTAGGGTCATTTTTACCACTGTGCTATCACCTCTTCTTGCAACTCTTAACAACACTGTAATTGCTGAGCTGAGGAGACCAGCTGAATAATAAATATATAATTATTATTATTATATTTTCAAGCCTCAGTATTTCAGCTCTCAGCTATTTACGGCCTCCTTTGTCATACTTTAGGCTTCATTTTAATTTAATATTATATTTCAACAACATGTATGGCCTAAACGCAAACAAAAACTTTAGTTTTCCTGCAAACTAATTCTGTTATAATACATGGAGGTGTGTTGCTGAAATGAGCAAGACCCTCCCGTTTCTCAGCCTCGCCGAACTACATTTTTTAGTCACTTATCTCCTATCTTACATTACATAGTTTTATTTAATTGTCCTTAGTTTGCAAAAAAAACAGTTTTCACTTAGTCTTTGAAGAGGATTGTTTTTATTTTATTGTCAAAAAAGCCAATTTATGTTGACCACGACTGATTTATAATCTCCATAAATACTTTTAATCAGCGCTGTAAGCCTGTCAGTCTTCATAATCTGAAGTGGACGATGCTGTGCC